TAAACACTCATGCTGGCTCTCTAAACACTCATGCTGGCTTTAGAGAGCTGACTGGCTCTCTAAACACTCATGCTCAATCAGATGAAGGAAAGCTACCTGATATCAACCTAAGCAAGTTGTGCTTCCTTTTTCTGGTTATTTGGCTATAACTTTTCATAGAATACAGTACAGATAATTGAACAAACTTTGTGGCATTACATTCTTAATTAAATTATCTTTTCATTGATATATAATTTTATGGTACTACTCCCCAAAAAGTGGTGTTATTAGCCATCAAACCTCAAAAATACACCTTTCCCAAAAGGTTTCCACAATTTTGGCCACTACTGTAGTTCCTCCTTCTATTTATTTCCAATTGATATATGGACGAGGGACCATTCCAAACATGTTTAAACTTTGAAAACAAAACAAAGACATCTTAAGGATTGCAAATTTGATGACACATAGATATTGTAAAAACTCAATATTTTAATCACTAGACAGCAGATATTTGCACATTCAATAAACATTACTATTTCCTAACATTCACTTTCATTGAAGTTCTGTTTCACAAACACCATATGCAAACAGAACACAAATTCTGGCATATTTTCTTAATACATTATGACTCACCATGCTATTCTGTTAGCCATTGTCACAATAAAATACTTAATTGCTAAAATATAAAAAATAAGCAATACAATTATGCCTTACAAAAAAACCCTAATATATAACTCAAATGAAACAAAATTGTCTAAGCTTTGTAAGTATTCTACCAATATTTTGTGATAATTTTATTTTAACACTTCCAATTTTATTCTATTCAGATATTATTTATCTTAAAGATATTGATGTAGATGCTAATGTCCTTAAATATTCCTAATTTGTTTTCTTTGGAAAAAAAAATGGAGCTCTTGTAAGCATTTTCTATGGAGCATTTACAGCAAGAACTGAACTGGTTAAATCTCAAGCATCATAGCTTTACTTACATGTTAATAACTTGACAGCTGTACAAGAGTGGCATGTGAACCTGAAATTACACTTGCATATCATTGTTTATGATGAATCAGAAAGGGGTGACCATCTGCCAAATACTCCTCACACAATGGATGAATACTACAAGAAAGTTAAAATCTGTATATATTTGATTCACATGTTGAAGACACAGAGAAATTAGATCTTTGTCTCAATGTGTTTAGTGGAAATAAACTAACATTATGTTAGTCCCATTGACAATATCTGCTCTCCTTCTGAGAGCCAATCTTCATTATAGCTACTGTATGTTTTAAGTTTCTATGTTTTTCTTTTCTGTATTAGGCGGTCACTAATTCTCTAAAAACAATACTATATAAAATATTGCTGAATATTTAATCAAATAAATTAATTGGTGCAAACTAAATTTTACATGCTTGGAATTTTTCTAGGAAAAATAGGATGGAGTGCCAGTTAATCTCATTTTCCATTCCTCTTATTCTTTTCAGGGGAAAACATAAACTGTTTCATGTTTTCTCAATTTTGTATGACTACTGAGGCACATACAAATACAATAATATATTTAATCTCATATTTATTTCTGATAATTGACAATACTGGTAAAAGTCTTTCAAAAGGAATACTTCCTACAGTGCCTCAATATTTACTAGCCAATGTCCTTGTTCAAAGTGACCTCATCTTTTCTGGGAAAGGAGGAGCTAGGCATTTTACAGGCTGGGGATTGGCTTGGTCTTTACTTGCAATATTATTTGAGGATGGATTATTTGATGTAAATAACTTAGAACTACATTTACCTAAGCTGTGGAGCAAACAAATAATCTAAATAAATAGATATTGATCAATTGCATTGACATGTTTAATTATGCTTGCTTTGCCTTGCCCTTCTAATAGCTATTTTGTGATCCCTAGTATCCTTCTTGCCAGCTTAGGGGACTGAGTGAGAAGCACATTGTTGTGATGGTTTTCTATCTTCTTCCAGGTTTGCTTCAGTTAGTGTTGAAACTTCCCATGTAGTATCACTACTTTGGTAGCTACATTGGCTCCCAACAGGCTTCTGAATATCATTTATGGTCTTGATTATCATCCCCACAAAGCACAAAACTGTATAACATGCAGGACCATCTGTCTCTGATTATTTCTGCCCATCTTACATGTTCTTACTAATTGGACATGAATTACGTCCATTCTTGAGACAATATCATTTGATGGAACTTAGGAAGTGCCTTTCTTCTCATGTAGTACCTGCCCTTTAGTATGGTTTGCCTCTTCTCTAGAATAGGATAGCCCTGACTTCTTTCAGCCTCTAGGATTTTTTTTGTTGTTGTTTGTAATCCTCACTTTTGCTTTTGGGTGATACTGTATTTGCAATGTTATTTAGGAGACACTTATTTGATGTATAATACCCAGAGTAACAAATAGATGAGTTATACCGTTGTATAAATATTCTAAATAAATACTGAACACTTGTAGTAACATGATTAATTATACTTGTTTCTCACTGTCTTTCTGCAATATGTATTGTTCAAAGTACAAAATGCTTATTGAACATTCATTTCTTTACAGTGATATAAAATTAATTACTGCACTTTGGTAGTGACCATTCAAATTGGGGATTTTCCAAAATCCATATTTGCATATTTAATTTCAGAGATTTTGCCAGGCTTATTCTACCTAAAAAATGATGTGTTGTGTGTCTATTTTAGATCTGAACAAACAAAAGAGGCTTTATTCTACTCCTCAAAATAACATAAAACATAAATTTATTTTTTAATTAATAGTTATTTCTTTTAACCCATCAAACCTGATGTTTTATACTGGGCACTTTAGTTACTTATTGAATATTAATACAATCTTAATAATGCTTTTGAAATCTCAAATTAGCACAAGAACCTAACCCAAATCATAGTATGCAGCAATGATCTAATGACACTTTGACATTTTTAATTTAATATTATAAACTTATAAATTTGTTTTCCTTTTTTCTGATTTTCCTTTATTTCCTCTTAGTAATGTTATAAATGTATATACCAGAACAAACAAACAAACCACCTTTAGGGTTTTTTAAATGTAAGAGTTGGTCAGGATTCAAAATAAAGCCTGGTTATTTGAGGAACTGCCTATTTAAGGTACTGCTGATTTCCCATAGTTCAGATATTCGGCACAGTGGAGATATTCCAGATCCACTCAACTAAATTTGAACACTCTGTGAGTGTCCCTCAAATTACAGATGGCATCCAGTCTCTTAAGTTTCTAGAAAATTCTTAAGACCTAGCTCTGTTCATATGTTGTGGAATGCCTGTTATGTTTTTATTGTTATTGCTATTTTAGTCCAGGCTGCTGCATGTTATTTCATTTTTTATTTTGTTTTAATTGTGCATTTTGCTATTACAAGCTACCCATAGTCTATTGGACCGGGTGGCCATAATCAATGTAATTAATTAATTCAATAAATTGTAATTAGAATTTTGCAATTAGAAAACATGCAATTCTATGAAGATATAAGATTTTTATTTAGAATCGAATAGAATTTACTTATCAGGTTTCTAAGGCTGCTTAACTCAATAATAACTTTGTGCGGGTACATTTAAAAAAAAGCCTCTCTGTATAAGGTGTATTATAAACCATCTTGACAGAACACAATTCAGGAGGAAATGTAACCCAAGATATCCTAGGACCTGGTGGGAAAAAATACAGGTCTTCAAGCCTTGTGGAAAGGATAGCAAAGATGGGGCTGAGATACTGTTCCAGAAGGCAGACATCATAACATATGAACTACATTTAGAGTATTAGAATGAATAGGTTTAAATAAAGAAATGTATACATATATTTGGAGAGAAAATTGTGTTGGTTAGGAGAATGAACATTACTAAACTTACTGGTATCAACATCTATATACCAGGGATGGTATTCCTTTATGGAAAATAATGTGTAGGTGAGAGAAAATATATCACTTTCTATATTACACATCTCCTCCTCCTCCTCCTGCTCCTATTCCTCCTTCTCCCAAAATATTGTGTATGTGAGAGAAAATATACTCTTGCTATATCACACATGCACCCATCACCATCTCTTCCTCTTCTTCCCCCTCCCCCTTCATCCTCCTCCTCTCCCCTTCCCCTATTCTTCATCTCTGTTCTTTCATTCTTTCCTATTCTTTTTCTCTCTTCTCAGATCAGATACAAGATGTAAACTCAAGGCATGAAATTTCTTTTTTTGTACTCTTTAGAGCTGCATAGTAGGCACTGATTATATTATTCTATATTATATCAAGGACAGCAAGCATATGAATGAGGAATTCAATAAAAGAAATAGAAACATACATTTTTTCCTTGGTAGGACACACGCAAATCCACAGGACAAATCGAAGCAGAGTGCAGTACTTTAAAATAGTGATATTAGGTTGAAGCAACCTTTATTTTGGCAGTACAAAGATAAAGGTAGTCCTCTACATTTGCATAATGCAGGATTGGTAGGTAACAACATTTCCAAAAAAGCCAACTTAGTATTCTGAAGCACATCACTGATGATCAATTGACAATGTGGCTGCTTGCTATTTTTATGGTAATTTTTTCATGGCACGCTAAATTATATAATGAAACCACCATGGTTATGCAGCTGATCCTGATATATAACATAAGCTGCAATTTTTGCATGGTGATGTTATAACACACATCTTGATATTTCTACCTTTTCCATTACATGAAACACCCATGGTAATAAATTTAGACTAATTTTGTACCTGTATTAATCTTTTTAAATACACTTATAATCTTAATCTTCTATCCTTAAGAACACAAATCACAATCACATTTTTAGTCAGCAGTAAAAATAGAGAAAAAATGAAACAATTAAAAAAATTCAATGTAATATTAATATTCTATAATTTTATAGTCAATCATGTTCAAATTACACATTTTTAGTCTGAGGATAATGTAAAATAGAATATAGAGTGTCCAAACATTATTTAACAATAACAATATTATTATTATTATTTAATTAATAAACTGAGAACAAATATATATATTCACCTTTCTTGTCATCAAAGTACAAAGTTTGTTGAGCTGGATTTGACCACTGGAGGGAGGTGTTATCATTTTGATCAACTCTACAGGTCAATGTTGCTGTTTCACCTTCAATAACTGTTACATTCTGTGTGAGTGGAAACTGGCCTTGGCTGCCTGGGGAGAACATTAAAAATATAAAGTAATTGTACTACATTAAAAGTTATAAGGGTAGGTGAATATCTTTTATCTTCCCAAAGGTGTGTTCAGTGAATTCCTGTTATTTTATATTATTCCAGTAGGAGGAAAACTTAAAAAAAAATCTTATCAGAATAGTTGATCTTAAGATAGATACATCATGCTTTTATCTATCTTTTTCATAAAAACAATAATTTTGTGAAAATTATCAAAATATGATTTTCTTTGTGTTATTTTCTGACATGTAGCAAAGCCAGGTGAGCATTTTAACAATTTAAAATATTGTAGAATAAAGAAAAGTCACAGAATCTAAATTCATGTTAACTGGTGTCACAGTTTAAATAACAGTTTCTTGTTATTTAATCTCTCTCTGTGTATGCTTAATGTAATTAAAGGCAGGCTAAATTATCAAGAATACAGGAATGATTGAAAAGCTTTCAGAGTTCAAAAGTAATACTAAAAAAGAACAATTAATATATTTTGATACCATAGGACATAGGTGATGAAAATCTGATGACTGCCACCAATTTGGAAGAATATGAATTATATAAGATTCCAAAAGCTTAGGTTATATTTTCCTTTTTTCTTTAACTGATACAGAAATACCTAGTAAAACATTTAAATAAACAAATGTTAAACAATATATAATTTAGAAGTTACACATAATTTAGTCATTGTTTGTTGAATTCTTCTTCTCCGCTATTTTCAACCATTAAGATAAATCCTGTTTTAAGGAGAACACACACTTAAAATGATGATAGATAGATAGATAGGAACATAATATCCTCTCTTGGATCAGAAATATTTAAGAATGGTATTAGCAGACCTTTTCCAGTAGCAACAGCAGCATATTTGTAGTGAGCTTTCCACAAACCAGTAGCATGAATGACTACTCTTAAATACTTGAAACTAATCATTTGTTCTATTTTATGCCATTAATGTTCCATAAATGGAACTTTGAAACAGAACATAATTTCATTTAGGCAAAAATAAGGAAGCCTACAAATTTAATGCACACACAGCTGCATGTTTCTGTTTTTATTTCATTGGTTTCTTAATATTATTATTATTATTATTATTATTATTATTATTATTATTATTGTTGTTGTTGTTGTTGTTGTTGTTGTTGTTGTTGTTGTTGTTGTTGTAAGTTGGAAGGGACCTTGGAGGTCATCTAGTCCAACCCCCTGCTCAGGCAGGAAACCCTATACCATTTCAGACAAATGGCTGTCCAGTCTCTTCTTAAAAGCTTCCAGTATTGGAGCATTCACAGCTTCTGGAGGCAGGTTGTTCCACTGGTTAATTGTTCTAACTGTCAGGAAGTTTCTCCTTAGTTCTAGGTTGCTTCTCTCCTTGATTAGTTTCCATCCGTTGCTTCTTGTCCTGCCTTCAGGCGCTTTGGACAATAGCTTGACTCCCTCTTCTTTGTGGCATCCCCTGAGATATTGGAACACTGCTATCATGTCCCCCCTAGTCCTTCTCTTCATTAAACTAGACATACCCAATTCCAGGAACCATTCCTTATATGTTTTAGCCTCCAGTCCCCTAATCATCTTTGTTGCTCTTCTCTGTACTCTTTCTAGAGTCTCAACATCTTTTTTACATCGTGGTGACCAAAACTGGATACAGTATTCCAAGTGTGGCTTTACCAAGGCATTGTAAAGTGATATCAACACTTCATGTGATCTTGATTCTATCCCTCTGTTAATGCAACCTAACACTGTATTGGCTTTTTTGGCAGTTGCAGCACACTGCTGGCTCATATCTAAGTGATTGTCCACTAGGACTCTGAGATCCCTGTCACAGTTGCTAATATTAAGCAAGGTATCACCTATACTATACCTGTACATTTGGTTTTTCTAAATGTAGAACCTTACTTTCCAGTTTTCTTCAAGGAACAAAAGAAAGCATGCACCAACTGTTATCTTAGGGATTTCTTTCCCAAAAAACCCAACAACTGGTGAATTTAATTTTGTAGAAAGATACTGGTCCAGAGACTGAACTATGGGTGGATTTGACTATACATTGTACCAGAGATTCATAAGATAGATGACACATGGTACACAGAGATAGTGATTAGTACATTTTTCTTTGAGAATATGAAAAAATAAAGCCGAATGGTAAAATTCAGGTAGATAAAAGAAAACAGCTATTCACAAAATACTTGCCATATTTATTATAAACTCCAGTCTCCCATGCTGCAGACAATAATTTCAGTAATTGTTGTTGAAGACAAATTTGTTTTCAATTTCTGCTTTCTATTGCATTAGATTAACTTGCAAGAGCCTTCTTTGTTCCAAGGATTCCTAGCTGTCTTTTGTTCCATTCATATTGGTAGAGTTTCCTTACCTGTATGCATAATTATTTCATCTTGAAATGCTATCCTTCAATAGTAGACTTAGAATCAGTATTGTAATAATTTCATAGTATTAAGTCTCCTTTTGATACAGCTATATGCGATAGCACACTTAAATATGCAAAACTGAAATAAGTTAAGAAAAAAATATTGAACTTGTTGATATGTTTGTCTTTGCCTTCAAAATATCTATAAAATGATTGTGCTGATTGCCTGAGATTCTCTTTGATGAATTATTTCAACAAGCTGCTCATGAATCTAGCAGATGATTATATTGTCTAGAGTCTAGACCAACGAGAACATTATGGACCCTTTTCTTTCCTCCTCCCTGAAACAAATTTTAACACAAGATCTGGAAGCAAGCATGCTGTGTGACAGCATAGAGAGTGCATTATCACATAATGGATGCATTGAAATTTACTAATATTATTTGTTGTCTGGTTTTAACAAACTGAACTCAGAATTGAAATCTTTTCCTATTCAGTTTCCCTTCCCTTCTTCTTCCCCTCCTCTTCTCTTTCCTTCCCCAGTTGAATTTTTAAATATTGTGCTGTGCTTTATAAGATAATAAGACAACTGAAGATGGAGAAATAAAATCAGGAAGCTAACCTGTGTCTAATGATAGTTTATTTTTTCTTATTTGAGGAAAAGGTTATTTAAGGAAAAAAGTGTTTCATAATAAATGGGAATAATGATTACAGAACAACAAGAATAGAATCAAGGATATATTTTTTTAATTTGAAAAAAGAGCTTAGATGTCTTGTGCAATTAAAAAGAAATATTTCCACAAGATGTATTCCACAAGAAATGTATTATTTGCTAGTTATCAGAATAATCATGTCTGTAATTGTGAAGAAAGAAGGATGTACTAGTTGTGATTCAAATCAAACAATTTGCCACCACAAATATTAAGTTATCCAGTATAAGGATGACAGAATTAACAGACTGGACCAACTTGATCTACTGTCATTTATTATTGCAATTTAAATCCAAAATATTCTCAATGAGATATGTTTATGCATTTGCCATAAGAAAAGGACTTTAAAGCCTTCAGAATACACTAAAGTATTGTATTCACAGTCACCAGCATATACTTCTATGTAGCCCATAAACATATACAGATTGTGCAGTGAATAGATTTTTCTAGATATTAGAGTATAGAGCATAGAATAATAGGATTGGAAAGGACATTTCAGGTCTTCTAATCCAATCCCTGCTCAAGGAAGAGACCCTATACTATTCTGGACAAATGGTTGTAACGCCTCTTCTTGAAAACTTTCAGTGCACCCACAACCTCCAGAGGTTGTTCCACTGATTAATTGTTCTCAATGTCAGGAAATGTCTCCTTAGTTCTAGATTGGATATCTCTTTAATGATCTTCCACACATTGCTTCTTTTCCTGCCCTTCTCTGTGGCAGCCCCTCAAATATTGTAAGATTGTTTTAGACCTTCTCTTTGTTAGACTAGACATCCCCAGTTCTTGCCACTATTCCTCATATGGTTTAGCCTTCAGACCCCTTAACATCTTTGTTACTCTTCTCTGCACTCCAAGATCTTAACATTTTTTCTGATGACCAGAATTGGATCCAGTATTCCAAGAGGTATCTCACCAATGCAGTATAAAGTGGTAATATCACTTCATGTGATCTTCAAACTATCTTTCTGTTGATACAACCTGATATTGCATTAGCTTTTTTGGCAGCTGTAGCAAATTGCTGGCTCATACTTAAGTGGTGGTCTACTGGGACACCTTGATCCCTTTCAATTGCTATTGTGAGCCAGGAACCACTATTTTATCTGTACATTTGGTTTTATTTGCCTATGTGAAGGAACTTATTTGTCTGACCACTTAATTGCATTTTGTTGGATAGTGCCCAGTGCTCAAATCTGCCAAAATCCTTTTGAACCATGAGTCTTTCACCTAAAATGTTAGCTATTTTTCCCAGGTTAGTGTCATCCAAATGGAGTCCCCCCCTCTATTCCCCCAACTAAATCATTTATGAAGGTGTTGAAGAGTACTGGGCCTAATTCAGAATCTTGGAGTATTCCAGTGTATGCTTTTTTCCATGTAGATGTAGTTCCATTGAGGACTACCCACTGAGTGTGGTTGATCAGCCAGTTGCAAACCCATCTGGTGGTGGTACTGTCTATCAGATGTTGTTCTGTCTTACCAAGGAGTAGGCTGTGGTCTACTTTATCAAATGCTTTATTGAAGTCTAAGTAAACAATGTCTACCAAATTTCCCTTATCCAGTAATTTAGTCACTAAGCAATAAGGTTTGGCTCACAAATGCACTGCTTGATTATCTTTTCCAGGAACTTCCCAGGCAGTGATGTCAGGCTGCTTGGTCACTTTTCTGAATCTACTTTTTTTGTAGATTGAAACCACATTAGTGTCCCAGGAGCTTTGAAAGATTTTGTTCAGTGATTCTGAGATCCAGCTCTTTTAGAATCCTGAGGTGTAATCCATCTGGTCCTAGTGAATTGAACTCCTCTAGAAAAGATAGATGTTCTTTTACAATTTTCTAGTTTATTCTGTTATTCAGCATTCTGATTCTGTCTCCTACGGTGTTGCTTTTAGTAGATTGGATTATTTTTTTCCTTTTACTGAAGACAAATGCAGT